GAGTAACACTCTTAGAGGAAGAACTAAACCCTTCATTCTGGTTTAAGTGCAAAAGTTTTGCATGAAACTTTGCCTCTTTGTTTTCTTTCCTTAACTGTGTTGACCTACTTCCACTGACAGATTGTTTTTTTTTTTTCATCAGCACAGCAATAAAGTGGTGTCTGAGAGAAAAAGTGAATCATTAATCCGTTTTATTCTGCCTTTACCGTCTTGTATCTTGTCTGCGTGACTTTAATCACGCAGCCAGAGGTTTGGTTTTGGTCGGTCCGTGTGGACAGATGGAATCAGAAATGAGCACATTTAGTGTCAGGGCCCTTTGAGGAAACAGGCATCAGCATGAGAATGACTCACCCGTTGTCATGTGTCGTCTTACAAATACTTGCTGAGGTCTTTCTTTCCCCTGCAAACAAAGTCACCACTGGAATGATCATTTGAATCTTTTTGTAACGTTTCAATCGGCATAAAGTTGTACATTTATCACAATTTCACTCATTTTGAGGCTTGAGGAGAACTCAGCAGGGTGGAATAAATTAATATGATGAACATCAGTGACAAAGATATTGGAAGCTTGAGAGGAGGTATCAAAGTGAAGTCATAGCACAATGAAACAACCCAACTTCCCCCTCTGTGCCCCTCTGTTCATCCTTCCCTGTCTGTGGCGGCAGAGCAGGGCTGCAATCATGCATGTGGACAGCGTCTTCCTTACGTGTCCTCTGATTTTTGGTAAGTAATCCAAATTTCTATTTTTGATGCATTTGCTTTGCTGTGTACATTCATTACATTGTTTATCCATGTGCCTATTAGCGCTGGAATTATCAGAATTAAATCAGTGAAAAATGTAGAAATCGTCTGTGAATGTTCCCTGCAGAATACATCCTATGTGAGATTTTTGAGTATCCACATAGGAAGTTTAAAAAAAATACGCACTTGTTTATTTTCTCAATCAAGTTGATGTCGCTGTGAGAATAAATGTGCAAGAAAAATCCTAAATCATTTGATTATTTAACTTTGCAGTAGTAGATTAGTTCCAGAGCTAAAAGCGTAGCTGCCCTCTTCCCTTTTCTAAATATACATCTGTTGCAAAATTGCCCTGTGTCATGTTATGCACTTGCAGACAGTGCAATCCAATACAGCAGTTCTGTTCAAATCTAGTATTCATGATGACCTTTCTGCAAGAATTCAATTTCACCTTCCTGAGAAACTTTTTAACAGCCCAGATCTTTGGCTCCTCAGTAATGCTTAAAACATCACAATTACAGGACGCCTGTAATTCATCTCACTTAACTGTATACATCTCGCTAATAAACCTGCTCTCTTCACTCCCTGAACTTACACCCAGAATAAATCACAGTTCTGTCAGCTTCTGCTTGCTAAACGACTTTCTGCTCTCCGTAGCAGCAGCCTTGTGGAGGGGGGTCCAGGCTGTGTCTCCTGTTCCCTCAGTCCCTGACCGGGTCCAAGCCCTGGCGGGCTCCTGCGTGGTGATCCCCTGCTCCTTCACTCCTCTGGCTTCTCGTCCTCTCAGGGGGAGGAAGGAGAGGGTGGACGTGAGGCTGAGGTTCAGAGGTGGCGGCCATTTTTTCCCTCTCCGAAGCACCGCTTTTAACAGCCAGGACAGAGATCAAGTGAGCAGGGATTTCCAAGGCCGGACGTCCCTTTTTGGTCGGATCGCAGACGGAGACTGCTCGGTGAAGATTGAAAGGATCAGACAGGACGACCCGCAGGTGTTTGAAATTGCTCTGAAGACAGGCGATGACTTGCTCTGGGGGAAACCATCGAGCTTCAGCCTGGACGTTGTTGGTGAGTCGGGATGACAGTGCACTACTCTTTTAAAACAGAGCCAGATGATGTCTTTTTTTTTAGGACAAAAAGCTACGAAAGAGAGGAGATATGAGTACGATTGTAGAATAATCTCTCACACTTGACTCTGAGTGGTGTGCAAAACCCCAAATCTAAATAGTGAAAAGTGCAGTCAGTGACATTTATCGCTTGTTTAAGGGGAAAGTAGACATCAGATCAGCAGATTTGTCTTCCTCTGAGCTCATTCCCAACATGACAACCTGGAGAAAGTTTAGAAAAAGATCATAAATACACAAATGAAGATGTTGACAAAAGAGTGTAAAATCACCCACCTTGAATATTTAAATTGAATGTATTGTGCATAAATTCCACGATTTTGCTCTTTTGCACTTTTAATAGAGTATTTATTTTATTGCTATTTTACTATTTCTATCATCTTTTAACTTGTTTTTCTTAGACTGTGACCATATAAGCTGCTGCAAAGATGATGCACAGTGACAATAAAGCTTCTTCTAAATACAGAAACCTGGGACATGTAATCCATAGTAGCGGCCTTTGCAAAAGATTCTGCTTCTCTGGTAGAACTTAAGTGTCTTTAATCAGCTACACAGACGCAATAAAACACAGTAATGATGCTGATTTTCCTCACTCACAGAAACCCCCGAGGCTCCCGTCATCAGCGGCATGTTGTCAGCCACAGAGGGCCAGCTGGTCACCCTGAACTGCTCCGTCAGCTATCACTGCCCCTCCAGACCTCCTGCCCTGCAGTGGAGGTGGGAGCGGGGAGCCCAGCTGAACAGCACTGAGGCCGGGGAAGTGCAGACGGTCCACCCGGATCCCCAGCGGCTGACGTTGCTGGCCTCTGTGTCCTTCACTGTGTCGCACCAGGTGAAGCCCAGGCTCAGATGCGAGGTCAGCTACCCAGGAGCCAAACCACTAGCCATCTCGAAGGATCTGCATGTGACATGTAAGCAACGTTTTGATTGTGTTTTTGTGTTTTTGGGGCCTTCAGTTTGCATCTTATTTTTCATTTTTTATTACATTTTTTTAGTTCCACCAAAGGATGTGAAGATTCAGGTCCAGACCTTGACAGTGCATGAGGGGGGCAGTGCCTTGCTGATGTGCTCGTGTAAAGCTGACCCCCCGGCGTCAGAGTACCGCTGGTCCTACAGTCAGCACGGCCGCACCGTGCACCTCCACCAGCGAACGCACACAGTCCGGGTGTTCAACGTGACCCGGGATATGAGGGTCCGCTGCTCCGCTCAAAACCTGATTGGTCGAGGGGAGTCCCGGCCCACGCCACTAAACATACAATGTAAGTCCACCTCTATCCTGCGTACATATCTGACACGTGTTTTAAAAAATGAGTACTTCACTGCCCTCTCTTGTTATACGTTTCAAGTTTGTTTCACTTCTGACTGATCAGAAACGTGTATCTAACCACAGTAACGGTGAGGTCGCAGTGCCCTGAGCGCTCTCTACAGCACACATCACTGCAGCAGGATGAGAAACAAAGTCATTATAGGTCGGGAAAAGGAGATTTTCGCTCTAGTGTTAAGTTGAAAACGGTGCAATTCAAAGATGCAAAGAAACATGTGCAGTCGTGACTCGATAATCTGACCCTTAACAAGCCAAAAACCTTACTATACCACAGGTTTTTAGGAAAAACAAACAGAACCCATTAAAAACAGCCTTAACATACCGACAGCCTTGGATTCTGACTCCGACATGACATTTTATGTCACAAATCAGGCTAACGGCGTATTATCTGACTGAACAATCCCACAGATTGGCTACGTTCACACTGCAGGACTTAATGCTCAATTCAGATTTTTTTGTGAAATCTGATTTCTTAGCGAGTTCCTTCACATTTCCAATTAAATGCGACTTGTATGTGATCTGCTGTGTGAACTTCATACGACCCAAAAGTGTCCCGCATGCGCAGAAGAGGACACGACGACATCACACGCAGCGAGCGAGCTCAGTGTTTACGGAAGATGGATGGTGGCGGCAGCACCAAAGGTGGAAACAGAACTGTGATCGCTATCCTAAACTGACATCAGCAGCCAAGTACTGCCTGTGCGTTCCGGCCACTTTCACCCCGTCGGAGTGCTCCCCTGGGGTGGAAGTGTCCCCTTGACCACTTTGAATATTCAGATATTCATCATTAATTGGGCCTGAATATCCAGAGACCAGAAAGTGCTATTCAGACCAGCCCTGCTAGTTATTATAACAACTATGAACAATAAATATTAACAACTAATGAGCCTTCCAGCATTAAGCCCTCCTTGTATCTCCACCTCCGTCTTGACAATCCAACAGCCTTGTTATCCGACATAAAAGAAGGTTTTACATTTAGTGTCGGATTATCGAGCCACGACTATAATTAGAGAAGGGCTTCCAAAGAATAGTTTTGAGAAATGTGCATATTAGCTTTCTTACCCAGAGTTAAATAGAAATACTGACCACTATGTGCCAGTAAATAAGGAGCTACCACATGCAGCCAACCAGCCCCACAGAAACTCCAAGAAGTTACTGGTCCCAGACAAGAAACAGCTCATACTGCTCTACAATAGAATGAACTGATATTTAAACACCTTAGCAAATGACATTTAAATTAGTGAGCTTTAGATGTTCCCCGGTAGCGCAACCAGATAAGATGGCGTCCCATGAACATGGGCTAAAGTTTGAATCCTGCTCACGACCCTTTGCTGCAGGTCTCTCCCCCATTCTTCCCCCCTTTCCTGTCTCTCTCCACTGCTCTACTAAAAATAATAAAGGGAAAAAGAATAGGGAGCTTTAGAGGCACTGGTAAGAAGATCTTGGCTTTTTTTTTTCACTAAGCTGAGCTAACCAGCTTCTTGCTATAGCTTCACATTTACAGTCTTCTCATCTAACTCTCAGTAAGAAAGCGATTAAAGCATGTGTTTCACAGTCACTTTATTCTAAATCTCCATACACAAAAAGAGCATACACAGCTTAGTAAAACAGGGTTACAATATCACAAGGTTAAGTGCCGAAAGAACAGAAATTCAAGTGTATGAAGTGTCAAAACACATCCTCTCTCTCTCTCTCCTCCAGATAAGCCGCTCATCCTCCGGCTCTCCTCCAGCTGTGCCGTGGAGGAGCAAGAGCTGCTGTGCCGCTGTTCGGTCGACTCCAACCCCAAACCTGCCGTCACCTGGAGCGTTAACGGGACGGTTCCACCTCAAGATTACAATCTGTCAGTCACATCAGAGCCCGACATGCTAACAGCTACTCTGAGGGGCCGCATGGACAAACCTCAGAGGGTGATCTGCTTTGCTGTCAACGCACTGGGAAACGACTCCCTGGTTCTGCTGCAGGGAGAAGAAGGTGTGTTCAAAGTGTTGTTTTTCCACACTGCTAGGTTCTTTAATCACCCTGATGTAGAACATGCCTGCAGCTTAAAAACATGAGAGAAAAATCTGATGCTTTTGTTTAAAAAAAAAGCTTTTACAGAGCATAATCATATTAAGTTACTAGATCAAACATGAAGCAATAAGTCTATAAGTGAAACAGTACTTCATGTGCTGCTGCCCTTGTGGTCTACACACAGATGCAGCACCATTGCTGTGGATGGTTTTGCCTGCCGTGGCCGTCTGCCTGCTCGTACCTCTTCTGTCTCTTCTTGTCTACTGCTGCCGAAAGAGAGCCGGAAAGTACGTAACGCCCGTCTGCCCTCTAATTTCACGACACTTGCTTATTGCGAGGCTCACGTAACTCTTGCGCTCCTCTCAGACGTGTCCTGAGCAGACGTCCAGCTGTGTACCCCGGAGGACTGGGAATTTATCAGGACAGGATGCCTCTCTATATAAACTGCACAGAAGTGACCCACATTTACACCAACGGCAGCTACCAACTAGTCTACCAGAACTGCACGCCTCTGTTTGTCCACACAAAGCAGGTATTTGATTAATTTGACTTTTGGCTCTGCGACGTTACCACAGATTTTCCCGAGATTGGAAATGTCTACTTTCTGTATTTGAGGATTATCCACATTTGTCCCCCCTTTTTTTGCAGATCCGTCCAATGGGCAGAAGAGGTGGGGAGAGAAGACGAGGGGGAGAGGGGGGAGGAGTGGACAGACAGGCCGGTTTGGGAGTCAGAGGCACCAGAGAGGTGCAGGGTGCTGCTGTGGCCGATGCAGAGACCGCCATCTACCTGGAGATCCTCTGAGCTCCGAGTCAAAATTCCCGTTCGTTGTCATACTGGTGGTTATCCATGTGTTCACGTAGCTTTCAGGCTGTTGTATATAGTGTACATCCATACTTGTGTTCATTAGCATTTCCGTCCTGTCTTTTTGAATAGCTAGCGGTGATCTATCTGTTACTAAATCTCCATATTGAACTGTTTCTGTCATTGAGTGTTGGTTTGTGACTTGTATCTTTGCTCTTTTTTTATATATATATAAAAGGTGAAAAGATCTGATAAAGAAGGTTTCATCATTTCATCTGTGACACCACTGAGATCACAAGAACAGACGCTCAAAACTCATGTAGTGTTACGAGTCCCGTACTGGTTTGGCTTAAATCTGGTTTAATTTCAGTGAACAAAAACAAGCTTTAGTTGTGATACTTGGTGTGTCTTTCCTTTTGTTGCGGACCGCTGAGCTGTTCTAGCAGCATTTGTAACAGCAGCTACGGTACAAAGTGATCCTCAGGCAGCGTTCAAGTTCCTCTGAAAGGAGAAAGACTCCAGTTCAAGCTGTGGTGAACAGTCATTATATCCACTGGGGCCCAGAGCACAACATGATTTTTGGGTCCCTCCACTAATGACGATAACGCTGATCAATGATTATTCACACACTTACTATAAACTTATTTCATTTTCTAATTTGTTGTAACGAATACACTCAATGTGAGACTTCTTTCTGTGAGATTGTAATCCACAGTGATAAAGGTCATTGAAGCAGATTTGCAAACTAGCAGAAAAATCTACTATATTATTAATATTTGGCAAAAGTCAGCAACTCTTCCTGCTGGCAGCACAGAGAAGCAATATATAAAACCACCCTTTTGTATACCAGGCATGTTTTCATCCATCTATAATAATAATTATAATCTGAAATGGTAGTAAATTCACCTACAAGTGAGGCCTGGGATTGATTTGCACTTAATATTTAAAGTGACTTATTCAACTGAGATATTGAATGTCGTAGGCCCACTAAAAGAAACTTTTGTAGCCTATTTAGATTTATGCTGGGTATGTATATTGTGTGTGTGTGTGTGTGTGTGTGTGTGTGCACAGGAAAATTCTTCTGTGGAGTCCTAACTGCTCCAAATCAATACACAGAGTTGTCTCTTAAGTCAAAACTAAATTTTACTTGCAGCAAGGAATCACATGCACAGTACAGATTCTGAACAAGTGACTCCCGAGTCAAGAAACGTAGCATTTATACAGGCATAGACTAGATATCTCCTCTGCTCCCATCTGCTGAGCACAGGCTTGGTTACTTTTGCAAGTTCTGTGCACGCTATCTTTCACAGCCTTCTGTATTTCAAAAGTTGGACAAAGAGCATTTAATCATAATTTATAACACTGAATTTTTATAACAGTGTGTGTGTGTGTATCTTGGTGAGGCTCTTAGTTGCTAGGGTTACCTGCACACCTGTGGGCATAGGTAGAAATCAGCCAGACAGAGGCTTGATAAGGGAGACACAGGTGATCAGTGTCAGGGATTTGAGCCAAGGGGAAGCCACACAGTTTTTCAACCGTGCCTGTGTGTGTGTGTGTGTGTGTGTGTGTCACCGTCTTTTATGGATGTCATCGTATTTTTGTTTTCTTTGTATAGGAGCTCATTTTAGGTCGTTCGGCACCCGACCTTTTGTAGGTGTTTTTTAAGATTTGCAAGTTACATTAAATAAAGTGTTAAACGCACCTCCACCTCGTTTTTATGCGCCATCACGAGTTGGAAGTGCCTTCAAAATCCCTCAAGGGGCATTTTTGGTGGATAGATTGCCCCTACAGTAACAAAATAAACCAAAAGTCATCCATGTTAGATGTCAGATTACCTTTGAAATTACAAAGTCTGTTTTGTTGTTAACTTAACAGGTAAATCCGCTGAGGTCATAGCAGGAACAGGGACAGGAGGTACAGTGGGTGGAGGTGAGAGACAGATACAAGACACAACAACAACAACTGGTAGCCATGTTAGATGTCATATGAGATATTAAATATGACAACTCCTGCTCCAATGTGTTTTCCCTTGCAAAGGTATTCACATGATGTGCATTTATCGAAAAACAAATCTCCTGTCATGTGATTATGTATTGGGGAGGGGGGCTCTAGTCTATCCCAGCTGACTCAGGGTGAAGGCAGGT